ATGCAAACACTGAGAAAGTAAAGGTAGTAGTTTTTGCTCCAGGAAAGTCCCCTGCTTGCACAAGGCTATGCAGTGACTCTTGTGACTTGTCACTGCTTGGGACACCTTCCCACGAAGCATCTAGTGTCAGCCACCTGCAGAGATGGGAAACTGAACTTAGCAGTTGGAGTGAGTATCACATTGAGCTTTGGTTTTACTCTCCATCTACCTTTTCAATTTACTCTATGCTTACGTCTTTGATCACTTGAAGATCATTTAACTGTTGTTGTTACATTTAATTGCTGGCTCACAGCCAGAACCTTCATTCAAAGGGCCTCTACAACAAAGCACTCGTGGCAGGGAAGGGACAAAGTGGTTTGCTGCATCCTGCCAGCAGATCTGGTGGAAAGTGTACTTGTAACAGAACAGCCGGGAAGCTGAGGGAGTGAGGGACAGAAGTGGTGGAGGGAAAATGTGCTAGAGAAAAAGGAATGTGAGGTTTTCCCTTCCTTAAGAAGGGAAAGAATATTTAAACTGGACAACTTAAAAAGCCTTTTACCTCCTTCGAAAAAAAGAATTCCGTTATTTTGTTTCCTTTAGGTATACGTAGTGATTGTAATCTGTAGGTTGGTCTTGTCTTTCTTTCCCCCACCCTGTCTGTCAGTTCCATTTCTTTACAAAAAGAAGACAAACTTTCTAAAAAAGCCAGAGTTCCAGTTTCAGAAAAAAAGAGAGTCTAAGAATATTGCCTTTGTCTCAGATCAGATAAAAAAAGGAATCTTGTATTTTTTTTCTAAAAAATAATGTGTTCAGTCAACTTTTGAAAAATGGAGACAAAAACATCTTTTGGGGAACTCTATTTGGACATGTTGGGATATATTACTCAGTTTGTGTGGGCAAATTAATTAAATATTTTTGATTAATCGCATGAGAAAATTTAACAGTTCTTTATGCTTTTTCATGGACTCAGAAAAAAATGGCGTTGTAATACAAACTGTGTTGAAATTTATCTATACATTGTCGTTTGAGGAGTCTATTTCCATATGGATAGTGGCTGTAAAAATTCCAGAGAGAACACGCACACATGTTCTTGCACTTGAGACAGAGAGCACTGTAGTATTGGTGCATTTTCTACTGTTGCTAAAAGTGTTATTGATTGTGCTGCCCTGTCCAACAATAAATGGATACCCTTGGGTTGCATGTGGCATTCCAGATCGCTTACTTTCCTCTTCTGCAAACCTCTTAACTAGAAGTGGATACAACAGGTCTTTTTTCCTTTCTATGTAAAAAAGATGGTTATAGTATCCTGTCTTACACATTATTATTTCTCCCGCGATCCAGGCAGAGGATATAGTGGACCTACCCTTATGTCACACAGGAGGATAACGTGCACCATTACATCTATCAGGAGTGACGCCAACAGCACATATGGCTGAGCTGGCTCACAGATGGCCCTTCAAAAGATGGTCCTCCAAAGTTTGTCACTTTGCCTTTTCTCTGCACTGTCTCATGCAAAGGTGGTTCCAAATTTGATATCACCATCATGGAGATTACATTGCTTCCTACAATGCATGATGCTTGCTTAGATACAATGGATAGACCCATTGTCCTGTTACACCTACGGTATACATTTTTACAGACTAAATTCTTGTGTGTCTCATGCTAAGAGAAACCATATATTAACTTCATCTCTCCAGTTCAACAAGGCCTATGAATGGAATGAATCATCAAAAGTATCTAGGAATTTTGGATGTCTCCATATTTGGTAAGATTGAATTATCTGAATGTGTGGTTTTAGAGATATTGAGGAAAACACTGAAAATGTCAGTGTCATCGACACTGGAAATTCAGTTCTTTACACTTCTCTCTCTCTCTCTCTGTCACTGTCTTCGGTTTGTTGCTGGTTATTGGAATAAAGGAAAATGTTAATAGAATTTCAGCTTACTAGAACTCCACAGCCAATATTCAAGCTAATAGAAATTGTCTTTTAGCTTATATACATCAGGACAAAGTATTAACTCAGTTTTAGCTCAGTACTTGAAAGCCTCATGGATAATTTTTAGTGTAATGAAGATAATGAAGTTATTTGGATATCATGGGCACAAAGTCTCCCTTTATTTCATTTTCTGTAGCCTACTGACCACAGAGAAGCTGTGGAAGTGCAACTGAAGACTGAAAAGTCCTGTCAGATTTGTATTACCGAGAGTGATTCAAGAACTACGAAGATTCTTGCTTGACATGCTCACTTTAGTTTGAAGTACTACCATCTAAACTGAACAAATCTTCTCTGGAGTAACTGAAAACTACAATTTCTACAAATGCCTACAAATATAGATGTCCGTCACGGTGTTAACCATGCATTTTTACATGCATTATTGCAGTGTAAATGTTTTTACAACTGCAAATTTGCATTTTTTTGCCTTCCTCAAATAAGTTATTGAAGTCAATTAACTTTCATTTATGCACTCACACTTAGATGTCTTGCTGCAAGTTTTCGATGGAGAATTATGTAGCATTGAAATTACTTTGTAATATAGAAGCCTAAGGGGAAGAAAGATTCTGAATTGCCTTCTAGGACACTAATCATATTTTGGAGAAGAACAGTGTAATAAGCATTTACTTACAGGACCACCAGCTTCTTACAGATATGCACAGGAGGTCTCCATCTTCATAGCCACAGGAAGTCACACTGGAAGGATCTGCTAATCTGCCTGAATCAAATGAAATAATACACCAAACACTTCTCAATCTTTTCACTCAAGAAATAACACTGAGATGAAAAAAAAAAATAAAGGAGTAAAGCGTGCAGAATTTTGCTCAGAGAAGCAGAACAACTACTATTGTTTTGCTTCATAAACTACTGTTCCTACAAAGTCGAATTTCTCGGTCAACACTTCATGCAGTACATAGTAATTTGATTGTGTTTTACAGTTTGATTTATTCCTCACTGTAAATGTATTCTGAGAATTTATGGAACCATCTGAAAGTAGGACATCGCAGTGATATTTTTATAGAGATATAAATATACATGCACATACGGACATAAACGCATGCATAGCTGATGCATCATTTTCAATAGATACAGGGCTGCTAGTGTAGGAGAGCTGCTTAAAGAGCAGAATAACACAAATTACATGTGCTAGTAATTGTCTCACCTAATTGGGTTGTGTGATACAGAATCACTTCCAGTTTAATGATGCATACAAACATGGCCTTACTATGAAGCTAAGCATGCAAACGTTGTATCTGATTAGCGTGTTTTCAAGCATCTGTGCTGCAGCAAACACGCAAGGCATTTCACAATTATTCGTGACAGCACGTAAGGCATATTTTACTTTAAGCACGTGACATGGAGAAATAGCCTAATTCCTGACAGCACAATGTACATGTACATTATGTGGTAAGTAGTCATGCAGTGAGTCAGGAAATCTGCTTTAAGCAGACATGAAATTACTACCATGGTCAGGTCCAATGACTCAAGCTATTCGAGAAGCTCCCAAACTCTGCCCTGCAGAACACTTACTCTCTGACGAGTCAGCTGAATGCCAACATTGTCATTTCTGTCAGATTAGAGCTAAACCTTGTCACGTTCTTTGAAAATCAACCCAAAATTTCTGATACTTTTTATTCAAGAAGAAGAGATGATCATGAACCATGTGCATACAGATTATCCTAATTATCCTCTCTAGCTGACTGGATAGAGCTTGTGCTTTGGGGCATGCTAGCTGCTCAAGCCTGTATTTTTCAGTAGCAGAGCACTGAGAGCATGAACTTGAAGTGGTGAGGAATGCAGTTCAAGTGGAATTATATTTTTTTAAATGCAAAAATGGTATTTTTTAATATTTACAGAAAGATTTTTTTTCAAGATTCTACTTCCACCTGGAAATAGGCCGCAGTAGTTCACTGGTATGCAAAGGGGATGAGTGGGAAGGGCAAAGGAAATGAAGAAAAAGAAGACAAAATGTTGCAGAAGAATTGTGTATGAGATTTACCAAAGATTGTATGCCTAGGTGTTTTGGGAAAATGAAGAGTCCCTGGCAGTATCACTGATAGTTATAAAATATGTATAAATTACTCAGAGCTGGAAGCACTAACCCCACTTCCAGGTCTACACTCCAGATTTGTCTTCTCCGCTTCCTCCAACTCCCTGTGCTTAACATGATCGTTATTTCAATCTTCAGGTCTAGCCAAGTTACCTGTCTTTCTCTGTATTGACAGTGCCTCCCAGCTGTATGTCATCAGCAACTACATACAAACTCATCAGCAAGAGTTCTCTGCTATTTTTTGTGGCAAGGTGGTTAACAAAACAGCCAAATGCAGTTGTTCTCGAGAATGATAATTGAAGAACTCTGAGCATATCCTCCATTTAGCTGTAAATTTCCTTAGCAACACTTGTCACTAAATTCTCCTTGAGGTGTTCCTTTACCAGATTTGCGATTCCCTACTTCATTCTGATTTTGCAAAGTGTCATTAAAAACTTCCATTTTATGCTTTGATTTTACAAAGGGAGCAAATGCATTTCTGGACTTTGGTAAAACGTCACTGATATCACAGAAGAAGATACCGAGTTAGTCTGACACAATCTACCTTTGATTCACATAAGATGCGCTTTATCCCTTTTTCTATTTAGCTCCATGTCTTTAAATATTCTTTCCTCTATACTTCTTCTAGTGTCTCATGTACTGCTAATGTAAGAGAAATAAACATTTATTCTTCCACGTATGGGTAGAAACTATCCAGTTTCTTCAGTCTGTGTAGGCAGGACTCTCAGTTTGGCTCCATCTTCCACGTGACAACTCCTATTTCAACAATCTCATTCCTATCAGCCATATTGTCTCAACACCATTGTCTCTACTGTAAATTTAGGCAAAATACTGATTTTGTTTTATGGCCATGAGTAGATTATTGCAAATCTTTGTACTACTCTTATTAAGTAGAAGCTTCACTTGCTCTTTATGGTTTGTATAGGACCATATTCGTAAAACTATTTTCTCAGCAACATAACTTTAACGACTAGAGCTGTTAATTAAACAATTTCTGTAGAATTTTCAAGAATCTACTGTCTTGCACCATGAACTCAAATCCTGCTTTTGTTTGCCTAAATTCACTATGCCAATATACAAATGCTTCAGTCATTCCTAATCTCAGCCAGCTGTCTTTCTGGATTAGGTTTAGCCAGTTGCTAACCTCACTACTGTATGCACCAAAATTATGTCTTTCTTTCCCCCTTATCCATTTACCCTTCAACTTCTCACATTTTTTACAGTAAAACTCTTTCCAGCCATGTGATATTTCTCCTTCTACTATTTTTTTAACCTTCCAATCACGTAATTTCAAAAATATATCTCCTTGTCTAAGGACCAGTCCTGTGACTCTTTGGACGGTGACTGAAGATCTTTACCTGTTTGTGCAGCCTGATACAAATCTTACTCTCACCCATCGTGTCCCTTATCTTTATCTGGGAGCTGTCACTGCAACCAGGCACATCTTCACTTTGTGTACGAGGTCACCCTGTGTAACTAGATCCTTTCTAGCAGGTCACCCCTAAAGTGTAGTATCCAGTCATCTTTACCAGCACCAGCCATCCTCTTTATCTTCTCTAAAGAAAGGAAAGAGGAAGAAGCTTGCCTAAACTCCAGCCAAATTCTCCTTGCTGCTCTCTGTTTACCAGCTAGTTGCCTGCTTGGATTTTGCTTACTCCACCTCCTTTTCTATTAGGTGTGACTAAATGCTGGCAGCGTTCTTTCACCACCAGCTGAAGCACCTCTGTCTTCTTCCAAACATACAGCTTCAGACAAACTACCACCTCATGAAACTACAGATTGCAACCAATAACGAAAAAAAACAGGCAGACAGATGTATTTGCTCACACCTGGTTACCATGAGGCTCAAGTTCCTGAAAACATCATTGGCTATTATTTCCTTCTTCCCAGCTCTCTTGGTTGCTAGAACAAGGTAAATCAATTCCAGCTTTGAATGGAAAGCTTCACTGACTGCTGCGTGTGAAGCAACATGTGGGAGAACAAGTTCTCTGATAAAGCTCATAATAAGATGTTGCAGCTTTAGCCTCAAGGGTCATTTCACACACATTTCTCTGTCTGTTTTCTTGGCATGGTCAACAAGTAAACAAGAATAATGAATTTGGGCACAAATTAAAAAAACAAAGCAAAACAAAAAAAAACTGCCAACAAACAGAACAAACTTCAATTATCGTAAAAAAAAATAAAAGTATTTAGAAAATAATGAGGCTACTCCTAAACTAATTAAAAAGGGCAAATAGTAATATATTCTCAGAGGGAGAGGTGGGATTTTGACCATCTGTAATAGAAATGAAACTCAAACTACTAATAAAAGATCATAACATTAACATCAAAAAAAAAAAGCTTCTCAGCTAACAATTTAAGAACAGCACTGCAGAGTGCAGACCCTAAAACCTACCTACTATAAATTGGAGCAACTGGGAACATCTTTTCAAGGATTTTCAGCTAACTGAAATATTGCCAATCTAAACCACAGATCTTCTGGATTCTGACCAGTCCCATGTGTAGCAACACCTTTTACTATTAGGAAGTTTAACAGTTGTTGCTCAATAAGGCAAGGGGGTTCCCTTCATTCAGGATTTCTCTTTCAAATCGGCAGCGTAGCTCAGTATGTCAAAATTTACACCATCTGAGGCTATACTGGGCTTGTGAGGCAGAAACCTTGGAAAGAATGGCCCAAAATGGGTCTGATAAACATTAAGCTGTTCCAGCAGCTTAAGGACATAATTCATACCTGTACGAAATTGCCACCCATGCTGCAACGGCAATCCCCAGAGAATATTGCCAAAATTTTGGGATCCAAAGGCGGTAAAATATTTGGCTGAAGCATTTAACAAGTTCTTATACACTCCTAGTCGTTCTTGATAGTTCCAAGGATTGATGATAGTCTTGTTGTCCTTTACTTGGAAATCCAGCAGGTTTTCAGGGGCAAGGTCCCACAGAGGGGGATAGACGTCTTCTCCAGTGGCATCATTTTCACTCCATGCTGCGTCAGTCGCTGGACTCAGGTTAACAATTGCTATGAGAAGAAGAGCACGTGTGCTTAAGTAGGGCCACATTCTGACGGTTTGTGACCCAGGTGTTCGTGGCCCCAGGGCTTTTATCATGAAAGGCGAGGGCTGGGCAAAAAAGGGTGACTCAGGCGCAGAGGTCTTGTCTCCCTTCCCTCTTTCCAGTGACCTTGACGTGGCATTGCCAGATGAGCAAGCTGTGAATAATGCTCTGTCCTCCCCTAGGGATCTGGGGAGCAGCAGCAGATATTTAAGGGGGATCAATCTGACTGGAAAATGTCCAAATCTGTGCTGCCCATGACATATATCCACCCTCCCGAAAGGCTGGGATGCCACAGTACAGATCGTACAGTCATGTTATCAGACTTTTTGTCCCCGTTTCTTACTAGCTGTCACCTTCCCTTTCCCTGTCTAGTTCCTCTGGGTAGAGAGGGGACAGCAATGCCGCAGAGCTCGCCCCAAGCCAGGCACAGACAGGGTTAGGTTAGGACTGAGGTGCTCTGGGGAGAGCTCCAGGTGCCGACCAAGAAGCAGCAGGGACGTGTGGCAAGCACTGCCTTTGGCACCTTTGTCTTTTGGCCTTGGGACAACTGCCTGCAGCCTTCAGATCCTAAAATTGTTGGAAGCTGCCAAACCAGCCCAGTTGCAGGCTGTGCAACACCTGGCTAGCTGTATTTTTAGTGTTTGTTTCTCTTGCATTTCAATGGTCATTATAAAGACCTCGCCTCCTACTAAACCTTCATGATCTTGTAGACTCCAAAGGGGATAAAAAAGCCACCCCTACAGTGATTAAATCAGCCTCTGATGAAGTTATACTCCAACAAAATGAAACTGTACCAACTACCTTCACCTCACCTACCTCAGGACTTTATAATCTTCAGCTGCTTTTTCTCAGATAAACCAAGGTTACAAAAGAGCACTTGGCAAACAAACACATCATTTTTTATCTCTGTAGTCTTTCTTTCACCTGAGAAAAATCGCAAATGCTCATTTTCTTTGAAGTAATTCTGAGAGTTTTAATGGGACTCTGTGTGTTTAAAGTACCTTAAACCAACACCCTGGTGGCAAGCAACTCAAAATCGACTGCAAACTTTTGACAGTATTTCTAAAAGAAATGTAACAGTTCAATTCAAAATTTTTCCATCTTCTCTACTTATTAAATAGATTTTCTAGTAAATAGCATAGTTTTTCAATAGTCACTTTTTATTTTTAGCTCTGTTCATGTGAAAGAAACCCAAAGGCTTTTGAAAAACAATCAGTGTTCAATAAAGTAGAGAGATTAGCACAGATCTGAGAACACTTTTCCTAATCATGCTGCCTCACAGAGGTTTCAAATAATCAAGTTGTTCTTTCATCAAGTTTCTACAGATAGGATTTATCTAACCTAATTGTGGACATTTAAACATTAACCTAGCTATGCAGATTCCCTCAATAGCCAAAGCAGAGAATCAGGCATCTCCAGAATGTAACGCTTTTAAAATATACCAAGAGATGTATTGTTCTTGACTGACTGTAGAGGGAGTTGAAATTACAAGTTTAGCTTTAGACATAGAAAAAACTTTTAGATTAAACAGCATCAATATTAAATAAAATCTTTATCTACTTTTATATAATAATTTCAGAAATGTTTTAAAAGGTACTGATTCTTTTCTTGAAAGAAGACTTTCTATAAAATAATTCTGAGGATAAATGCCAAGAACTGTACTGATTTCTTATACATACATGTTAGGCTCTAATGGAAGTAATGAGCAGAGGCTTACCTGAACGGTAAGGATGCTGAAAGGCATCACCTAGGGCACAAGATACATGGAGAATACCTGAGATTCTATGAAATAAGGGGTACAAAGGGCATAATTACACTAGGGCAGAAATTTTTGTTGGAACATGAAGGATTGAGTAATGGTGGGGGTTATTTTTACCATCACTGTAAGCAGTGTCTGATTTGGGAGTCTCTGCCTTTCTATAGACAAGAAGAAGAGTTTGAATACTTCGAGTGAGAGATACCAGTTATTCATATCACATGAGAGATTTCACTTTAGGTGCCTAAGATAAAGAGATGTGAATAAACACCTTCCTTTTTCACAGAGCTACCACATATATACATCCTGATGGCAGATTTACATGTAGCAAATTGACTGGTTCCATGTTTGTGTGGAACTTTGTCATACATGAAACACTGTCCTCCTTGCTCTGCCTTTGAGAAAGGCAGATCTTATTAACACCAGTCTGGGCAGACATGCAAATATGAATCTTTCTCAAAAGATTCATAATAAAGAATTAAGATAAATTATTGACATAATGCATTCCTTATATAAAGTTTTGAGCTCTTTGATAAAAAAAGATTTGTGGTATACACTACATGGTAAATAATATAAAATAAGTACATGCCCAATAGACGTACTCTGCTGAATTTCTTCACCTTTTGAAGTCTGAGTCTTATTGCTTATTATGGGAATGAACAACTCTTCACCTTTAGAGAGTCAAAAATATTTTTTAAAATTAATATAATAAAAATATTCTTCCTGCAAAACATTAGCATTAATTTTATAGCCCTTATACCATTCTCCCACTTATCCATGTGGGCAACTAAGTTCCTAAAGATTTTGTAAGACTTTAAGGACAAGAGCTTTCCTTCAAGAAATCTCTGCACTGATGTTCCCAGCGTGGAATCCAGTCCTGTCAGTTTGCTGCCCTGAGCAGGATGAGGGGAGGATTCATATGACATCAACTGGACTTGAGTGGTATTGGTGTCAGGTCTTGAGTCATAGCATCCCTTCAGGGATGTCAGCATTTTAAATCAGTGGAAGATTAAGGAACACTATTACTAATGTCAGCACCACTGTTTATTCACCACTCTCTTAGTAAGCGCTCTACTATTTACCCAGTATGGCTGTGCTCTTACAGACATTGTATCAGAACTAAGTCCTGATACAGGACAAGCTTGTAGACAATGACAGATGGTAAATTCAGGTCTGATATGTAATTGTTACCGAGTTTCTGGAGAAAATGCTGTAGTTTTCAGCTGGGCTGCAGAGTTTGCATCAAGATACCTGCAGAAATGCTGATAAGAATCGATACTAAATTAGATTAGTTGAAGTGATTATAAGAAGAAATGGTTGCCCATGTTTGGTCCCAAAGCTGTTGAAACATAAAGTTCTTTAGTCCTGATGAGATGCACTGAGGAAGGAACTGACAAGCTGGTGAAGAAGAGGCATCAATACCCTCACTGGCCTGAAGTCAAAACTGAGGCAGAGCATTACAGGTGAGAAAACCTTCAGGTAACCTGGGCATGTCACTGTCCCTCAGTCACGCAAGACAGGACAAAAAGGAAGGGTTCACCAGCTTTCATTTAAGGCAAATGTACTAAAGGGTAGAAGAATGAGTTTTTGTTTAGATGTGATATTGGTCTGGAAGAGCCACCCAGTCATATTGCACCCTTTTCTTTCATGCCACCAGTGATTATGAGTGCTTCTTGACTTCAAATCATCACAGCGAAAACACAACCATACTTTTGCTAAAAGTATTCCTCATGTATTTTACTTATTAAACTTGTAGCAGTTAATATATTTTGGTTGCTTGTCAATCTCTCTTTGCATTGTTTGCAGTTATTGCCTTTGATATTCGGCAAGGAGAATCTCTCTGGCTCCGGTGTCCTCCAGCAAAACCCTATGACAGGTTTATAAAAGGGATTTTAAATTACTACTTCACTTTTCTTAGGTGTAGTCGTGAGTAAAGGTCATCAGCCAAAGCCTATGGCCACGTGAATGGACTCCACCACTAATCCAGCAAAAGAAGTTGTGGTAAGAGAATCAAGAATCCAAGGGGAAGTTATATTGTGTGGGTGGTGGAGCTAACAGGAGGTGTTGCCTCCTCATATCCTGGCTCCTCCATATATCCTTGGTCTTAACCTTTTTCCTTCTTTGGAAAACATCATCCTCATATTACCTGTTAATCCTGTTCTCCCCTCTGCAAAAGTCTTCCCATGTTATCTGATGATCTTGCCTCACCAGAAAGAGTAACCTGTGCTGCAGATCTGCTGATAATTCCTGTTGGTGAAGGTCATAATAATAAAATATTCAGTTTGTCTTCTTTATTTTTCCAGAAGCTATTTACTGAATTGGGCACACACAGTAGAACAAAAAATATTAAAATTAAATTAAAATAAACTGATAATTATTCAAATTATCGAACTCAAACACTTCTAATTTAGGAAATACCAGATTCATATCTGTGGTGGGATATTTACTGTATGAAATTTTTCTTTCCCAGATGAGGCAGTTATTTTTCCAGGAGGCTGGCTGGGTGAACGACTGGCTGGAGAAATGGTTACAAAGACAAGTGTAAATTCAATGTTTCCAGAGTTCCTATTACTAATATTAAAAGAGAATGAGCTTCCAGCAAGGTGAAAATATTGATTTGGGATCAAGCCTACACGCAAGATGTGTAATGGTACCTCACATTGTCCCAAATGTAATCCTTCAGATCAGACTGCTCCAAAGGAGGAGTACAGGTAATAAATTTTCAGAGCAGGCTTGCTTGCAGGACCAATATTAAGGTATACATATAAATAAACAAACAAACATCCCTCCCCATTAGAAACAGGAAAATTTGAATTAACTTATATTTTAATTTTCATAGTGATATTATGGAGGTGTATTTACCTTATAGGTTAGTTCAAATGGTACCACAGCCTTCACAACTTTTTGTTATCTTCAGCTTAGAAGGTAAAGGTTAAACTGATCATGGAGTTAGGTATCTGTAGTACTTAGCACCTATAGAAACATGGTCTTCATCATCACCTCTTCAACAACACATCATAAAATACATCAGCCTTATTTTCATAACATGATGGAATTCACTTACTTGAGGCAGACCACACAAAAACCCCACTTGTTTAAAGACGTTTGAAATACAGTGAAACCAAAATAGATAGATGTATTCCTGAGAGCATCAGGATTATAAACAATCATTTAATGTAGGAAGACGATAATAAATTTTTAATATAATATGCCTATTTTGTCTCAGAGATAATTACTCAAATACAGCCC